AATCTCGAGTAATACATAGCGCCCAATACTCCTAGGATATAAGGCATCACACAAATCAGAAAATTCTAACATATGATTCCCAAAGGTATCCTTAGCCCTACTCTAGCATGCATTTCACATATCAGGCATACTAGTTATAATACATTGGTATAAGTATTTTGAGAATTATTACTCGAGTTCGGCTGATTGCACACATCACACCCTTTTTCCTTAATATAAATCTTTTTAGAAAATTTATTTCTCATTTTCAAAACCAAATCCTCAGTTTGAGTACAGACACACCCGATAGTGTGCCCAAATCCCTCAAACCAAGGCTCTGATACCAACTTATAACGTCCCAAAACTCATAGATTTTTTTTCATTTTTAAATAGAAAAAACATTCAATATATATATATATATATATATATATATATATATATATATATATATATATATATATATATATTGAATGTTTTTTCTATTTAAAAATGAAAAAAAAAATCTATGAGTTTTGGGACGTTATAAGTTGGTATCAGAGCCTTGGTTATATATATATATATATATATATATATATATATATATATATATATATCATCAATGTCAAACAGTTTTTCAAAAGGAACATCATAGTATCATCAAATCATAAGTATGACACCTCTAGTAGATAATATGCAATCACGCCAGACCCTTCCCTTTCGAATTGGAAGTACCTGAAAATGTTAAAACACAAAACCATAAGCACAAAGTTTAGTGAGTTCCCCAAAAATATCACATACCAAATAAATGGTCCTAACCCAGACAAGCAAAGGGGCCCAACCCAACATATAACGAATGGGCCCGACCTAATAATAAATAAGCTAACCCAACATACAAATGAGCCCAATCCAATAATAAATGGGCCCATCCCAACATACATAATAACGGGCCCAACCCAAACCTACACATGAAAGAGTCACAAAGACAACTAGCACAATCTAGTGAGATGACATTGGTGCATTCGACCCACGAGCATAGTGAGAAGACTCACCTCAATCTGCAGGCAAACAATCCTCACACACGACTACCGAAACTGGAACTCCCCACTCTAAACAATACCCAATAAGACCCTAATTAGAGATCAAGGTAATAAATCATACTTGAGGGTCTTAATCATAACATTCTCACTCTTTCTGGGGAAAAAGACCATTTTACCCTTCTAAACCTAGGGCCCACTCTACTTGGCCCTTAATACAATTTTGGCCAAAAATCCGTTTCTGACCCTACGCTCCAGCATACCACATGCTCTACGCCCTGCGTAGAGCAGCTGATGCCAGTCGGGGGCAAATCAGGCTACACCATGTGTATCCCAGATTACGCCATGCGTAAAGCGCTGCTTGTCAACTTTTTATTAAGTTCTTAATGCATAAAGACCAAACATCCAACACTTAGATCTGAATCTAATAAGCATTATAGGTGATAAAGTTTCAGACTTTAAGCATTTGTATGGCTTTAATGAACACAAAACCAATCCCTAAATCCTAAACATGACCAACAGTTCAAATGTTCATGCATGGATGAATAAGGGTGTCCAAGTTCCCATTTTTATGACTTACTAAGCCCATAAATGATAAGAGAAACCACTCATGATGTATGGAGTTGCTCATACTCACTAGAACCAAGATTAAGGGACAATAACTCATAAAAACTCACAACTAACTAGATTTAACAAAAGGATCAACAAGGTTTAAACTTTAAACCATGTTGATGATGAGTAGAGTCAGGATCTATAAGCTCTGAACTTCCAAGTGTTCCTTCAAAGACCCATTTCTTCACCAAAATACACAAATGGTTACTCAAAATGCCTCAAGGATCTCACAAGGATGCTAGGGTATGGTGTAAATGAGAGTGGAAGATGAGGTTAGAAAAGGGCTCAAGGGAGTTAAGGCCCTTAAATAGGGTTACAACCCTAAAATTTTGGGTTTGGATCCTGCGCACCTGCGCCCTGCGTAGGGAATTAAGTCCTCGTATCCTTAATCCCTCTTACACCCTGCATAATAAACAATCCTACGCCCTGCATATAACCATTTTTATAAAAGAAATTATTACATAATTTAAAAAGGGAAATACTTGGTAAACAAATGTTACAAATTCCAAGCAATCTCTTAAACCCCAAATTTCTAACATTATTCAAGGTTTGTTCCACAATAAGTTTGAGCTTAACTTGAAAAGTTATTAGAAGGAAATTACAATTAACCAATACCTTTATTGTTCATCCTTTCCTGCGATACTTGTACTTTCTATTATCTTTATTATTGGTAAAGTAAATACGTATATGAAATAAAAGACAAAAATGAAATAAATTGAAAAGCCCGTTGTAATAGTCTGCGGAGTTAAGGCCCGTCATGTTAAGCATCTCACACTTCATACCCATACACAAAAAAATGTAAACCATAGCAATAGTGGTCCAATTTCATACCAATCTTAAAGTCATAACGTCAATTGATTGTTGCAAGATTTTGATCATGTGCCTTACTAGTATAATTCCATTTTCTAACCAATGTGCTCGTATTGTGGGATAAGTTAAAATCCACATAAACATGTATAATACCTTGTCAAGGACACACAAGCAAAGAGGATCTTAATAAACAATTAACATGGTACGTGATCATTTTCTTAGAGTGTTTGGATAAGTTAAGCGAGAGAAAATGTATTTGATTATCCGAATTACAAAAATATAAAGTTAGTCCTTATATCATTTTATTTTTTTATAAACTTAAACATATATAGAAACGAATATATTTCATCTTTCACATTTTCAATGTCACGTCAGTTTTTCCTTAATTTTCCTTTCACTTTCAAAACCCAGGAAATTATTACCTTTCATTTTCTTTTACCTTTTTATTTTTATACAAATATTATATATTTTTTTGTAGGGAATTAAAAACCATAAATTTTAATATATATAATAATAATAATAATAATAATAATTTTTAGTATATATACAATAAAATTATATATTAAAAACTAAAAAAAAGAAAATAAAAGAAATGACAATTGGCCAATCGAAGAAATTAAATTATATATGAACAAATAGCCCTGCCCTCTTCTTCTATTATCATGTTATGTAAAATAACACAAACAGTCAACACCGTTGTCAGTTTTGCCCTATCCCATGTTCGTGCTGGATGTTTGATTATGTGCCACTTTTGTTTTAGGACTCCAAACGCTCGTTCCACATCCTTCTGTGCAGACTCCTATGTTAACTTGAACAATTTTCTTTTTTCATCGGCTGGAAATGAATATGATTTGACAAAAGTAGCATACTCTGGATATATCCCATCAACTAGGTAATACCCATACTTATATTCATTTCCATTCAAAACGTATGACATGTCTGGTGATTTACACTGCAAAATATTGTTAAATAACGGAGACGCTTGAAGCACATTCAGGTCATTGTTGGACCCCGCCATACCAAAGAATGCATGCCAAAACCATAAGTCTTGTGAAACAACCACCTCTAATATAACAGTCGGGACCCCATGATCACCTCGCGTGAATTAACCACGCCACGCATTGGGATACACTCCCACTGTGTACAATCAATACTACCAAGCATCCCTGGAAAACCATGTTTAGCTTGATGCACGACATACAACTGTTCGACATCACTTTTAGTCGGATGTCGCAAGTATATGTCACGGTAAAGCTCTATAACATACTCACAGAAAAGATATGTACATTCTCGACCTGTCCTCTCAGACATTTTCAAATACTCATCTGAAGCGTGTGCGGTTATGCTATATGCCAATTGTCTAAGAGCAGCCGTGCATTTTTGTATTGTAGTAAAACCACGTTTACCTCTAGCATCCCATCGTAATTGGAAAAACTCATAATTACGTTCTAAATCTCTAGCTATACGTAAGAATAAATTTCTACTGATATGAAAACGTTCTTCAAATCTCGATAGGTCATATAAACTAACATGGGCAAAATAATCACGTACCAAAAGTTTATTTGCCGCCTCTCATTCCCGGTTGATCCATTTTCTATGCTTCTTCTCGCGGTGAGAACTTTCGCCTCTCGCATGAATCATGTCTTGTGCCGCAGACAATAGTGTGTGCAAAACCAACTCGTCATCAGAATCGCTATCCATTTTTTGTTGAATGTGTGTGTTTGATTTGAAAGAGTTTGTATGTTTGTTTTGAAAATTATGTGTAAAAATGGGTTTATATATAGAGAGAATAAAGTAAAAATAAAAAACATTTTTTTTATTTAATGCTTTTCAGCGGTCAAAAAGCCCCAACCGATCCCGTCTTTCGTCTTCGTCCGTCCTTGACTTCACGTCACAACCAACCCACCATTAATGGGGGCGGTGTTCATGCGTGGAGAGACCCTCCACGTAAGCATTTCACACGTGGAGAGGTCTCCACGCCGGGCAGCCTAATCGTAAAGCAAAATGTGATGTTTTTGGGTGTGGTTCATTACGATTCTAATCACACCTTGTAGCCTAACCGAACAATATTTAACACATTATTGATTATTCAATAAACCAAAATATAGTTCTGATAAGATGGTTTAGGTACTTTACAACTTAGATTTGCATGCTCCCTTTGGTACTATCTTAGTTGTGGATCATACTAACTTTTATAAAATATTTTATTCGGTTTATCTTAAATGTGGGATCATACTAATTTTTATAAAATAGTTATTCGGTTTAAACGTGAACATAATAAAGTAAGAAAGAAAAAAAGAAAAAGAGGAAAACAGTGAGTCACACGACATCGTATTTATCTTTACTATGGACCCGTCTCGTCATCTTCTCAGACTTACCGTTGAATTCAAGACTCAACAAATTCCTTGCAGGAAAGCAAGTAAAAAGGCAAATTCTCAAAATAAAATAGGAAAGGGTAGAATAGTCTTTTTACAATAGCCCATTTTTCCTCCGCCTTCAAAATTAGACGTTGCAGTTGAGGCACAATTTATGCGACTTCAAGAGAAAACGTGCCCCCCTCACCTCATCTCACCTCTCTCTCTCTCTCTCTCTCTCTCTCTCTCTCATACTTTCTCTCTCTACAATGGTGTGACTAATACCTACTATTGACAGAGTTGTTTAATTTTCATTCATGTTACTGTAGAATCTGGATGCGTAAAGAGGTAATTAACAGAGCATTTTCACTTTTTATGAGCTTATTTATTTCAAACGGTGTATGCTTTGTTGCTTTTATGACATGATTCTTTACTTTTCAGTCATGTTACAGATGAATTTGGAGGTGTAAAGGAGTAAATAGGTAAACAACATAAGAATTTTCACAGGTTCATAGATTGTTTTTTCTACGAAAAATATTTATATAATCATATCAATTGGATCATACTTCGTTCATTTTATGATTATGAACTTTGATTCTGCTCTTATTACTGAAGAAATTGGAGGCGTAATGAACAGAGCATTTCACAGGTCTTGATTATTTTGCTGTATTCATTTGTTTCAATCGGTTCATAACTTTTTGGTTTATCATTTTCAAGGACTTTTTTTTTTTTTTTTTTTTTTTTTTAAATGTTGAATCTATATATACAGACTGTGTTATTATCTTTTATGAACTTATTTATTTCTGTCGTATCATTTTTTATTCATTTCTATGATTAGGCGATTTGATTTCGCTCATGCTAATGAAGAATTTGTGGAGACGTAAAGTATATAATAGAACATTTCACATGTCTGTTCACTATTTTCAGTCGATTTATTTATTGTATTTATTTCAATAGCTTTATATTCTTTTTTGATTTTGTTATTTTCTGTAAGATTGTTTTGTTTTTGTTTTTTCTGTCTAATCTACAAAGGCAGAACATATGAATTAATTTCGCCTATACTATACATCTATACTACCTCCAAATAATGATAATCAATATTTATTCCGTGAGATTTTCGAATTAAATTACAGTTCTTAGGTCCAGGATTTCAATGAACAATGGATAATTCTTATGTGAAGAAAATGGCAGTTGCTGGATTGCACAAGGCGTCACTTGATTCATATATTAATAATAAAGAGAAATCAACCACAAGAACATCATCCATCAGGAAAATGTGGCAGGATCTTGAAAGTGAGGGCAAATGCGAAAGCATTGAAAGTGAAGATACCAATGAAATTGAAAACGAATGTCCTCAAAACCAAAATCAAGTAGCAGTTCATAATAATGGATTATGCTTGCAGCGTTCTCCTTCTCTTGATGTTCCAGCAAAAGAGCGCGTGAGAAAAGTTTTCCATGATTGGGGAAGCAAAAGCTTTGAAGGTCATACACTGTATAGTTCACGTATGAATAATTGTCCAAGGGCAGAATCGGTATTTATCCGTAGGATATATGGTAGACAGGCTGTTCTGGACTTGTTAGCGAAGTTTGTGAAAGAAAGGAAAACAGAGGTTGAAGATTTATTGAAAAATCAATTCGTATCAAATTTCCCTCATCGCCCTCGAATTCAGGTCAATATTACAAAATGGTGTATCTTTCTTTGTTGTACAAAATACTAATGCTATGATTCTGTTGTAGTCATTGCTGAAAGGTAGATTTTTGAGGAATCAAAGATTTGTAGAAGATCAAAAACAGGCTTCTGTTGCAGCAAGTGAATTAGGGTTATTGAGGCAAACACATTCTGTATCTGATATAAGGTATACATTTTATCCATTTCATTTTTTTCATATTTCATTCAGTTTTTGATCTGATTATGTCCTTTCATAATATGACTGCAGGAAAGGCTTCCTCTCTAAATTGAATAACTATGACAAAAATGCTTCAGAGGTCAATGACAACATCCAACAAGCTGAAGAAATCATTCATGAAATTGGTAAAGAATTTGAAACAAATAATTTAACAAGTCCACAACAGTTTTCTTCACAAGTAGGAGAAAGACATGATGATGACGACGACGACGATGATGATGATGACTTTATCATGCAATATGAAGAAAGAGATGATTCAATGGAAGAAACAAATCAAATCACTCATCACGCTGAATTTCCACAAGGATCTCAAGTGGATGATGAAGTTGTGCGTTTACTTTCTTTACAGACAAGTACAGATAGCTTAAATTGGCAAGAAATTTCACAGGCGGAAGAAGATTGGGATGAATCAGTTACAGAAGAAGAAGAAGACGACAATGAATGGCATCATTTAACTCGGACCAACTCAGACGAGGGTATAGATGTCAATTCACCAGTAAGAAGCGATTCGCAAGAGTGGATTGAAACCCTAGAAAGTAGGAGTAACGCATTCTATTGGTTCGATGATGATGATAATAACGACAGCAGATTAGAACTCACGCAACTTACAAACAGGTAGATAAATTCATAGATCCAATCACAGTTCAATTTCATGATACCTAAATCATCAAACTAATTCAGAAAATCATTCGCGATTGTAGAAGAACAGTCTCTAATCTTCTTCAAAGTGATTTTGGTGCACGACTGAATCATCTGTTGATGCAATCATATGTGAATCGACAAAATCAAGCATTTGAATCACAAAATGAAGCTGTTGATTCATCATCAGTTGTTATCCCCCAAACAGAGGAGGAAAGGGAGATAATCAATGGGTTAAGGGTCGATATGGATGCACTTCAAGAAAGAATGAATGAAATGCAGAGGATGCTGGAGGCGTGTGTAGATATGCAAAAATCAGTGCATCAAGAGCTTAATTTAGCTCTGAATCAGTCATCATCTTGCTACTTATGTTGTGATGATGGTTTTGAATCATTACCTGAAGAAAGGTAAGGATTTTTTCTAAAACGTAAAATCATTACATTAAGATTCATTCAATTAAACATGGAATTAATTATTTATAATGTTTATTCAGATCTGGTGCACACATGTGTATATGCTCAAAATGTGCTCAGAAAATAAACTGGTCGAAGCTAAAGGAAAGTGTGAGGTGAACAAGTAGTACAAGTTCAAGACTTATAGAGCATGGGAATTAGCAGAAGGAATAAGAAAGAAAGATAACAACAGTGTTTTTTTAATCAGGTAATTTACATTAATACTTTTTGGATTGATTCAATTGTTTATTGTCTTGATTTTGAATTTTCCTCAGGTCCTACTGATCATCGGTATTGTGTGGTGATGAAATGAAGATGCTATAGCTTAGCACTAATGACAAATCCAAAAAAAAAAAAAAAAACTTACATCTTCTGTTAGTTTATGTATATTGATTTGGATTTGGGGAATTGTTGCATTGGTTTGTTCTTTTAATATTTATATATCAAATACACTTATACATGGTACATTTATGGGATTGTGGGATGCATTGCAGGGATTGGTTGGGAGTGTCATGGTTGACTAACTCATAGCCCTCAGAGCCTCTTTCATAGCAATTCAATACAAATAAGGAAGACTAAGTTCCAAAACAATACAAACACATAATATAATTCCATGTACCAAGTGAAAGATACTATGTATCAAAACAAGGATAACATCAAGTAAAAGCATGTATCATTAAAACATTGCAATTGTGACATGTATCCATTTATAAAAACACTATGTGCTCACCTTGCTAGTTGGGTCAACCATGAACCAACAACGACAATCCTCTTGTGTTCTTGTGTTTTCCCGAATTCCTTCTTTTTCCTTTCATTCAACTCCGTTAAAATCAATAATTCATATTATTCGTAAGATAGTGCAAATTTATTCCAATACTTGTCCCTTTTGACATAATGTACTTTTCATGAGAATTCCATAACGTTATTCTATAAGGACACTTTGGTCATATGAATATTTATCATGATATTCTAATGATTTATAATGCTCATTAACTTCATTGTTAGGAACAATATTTTCCACAACTTCCATTTGCATTCTATCACCAAATATATACATAATACGGGCTAAACAACTGTGGGCTAAATACACTGGACAATTGTGGGCTAAATACACTGGGCCACACAAAATATAGCTCAAATACAATAAACAATACAATATGTATAACAATACTAAAGTATACGCCAGACAGCTCCCACAGTCAGAACGGGAGTTATTGAGCGGAAGTTGAGACTGGATCTGAAGTCAAGAAATAACAAGGATGGAAGCCTTTTGGTGAAAATATCTGCATATTGAGAAGTTGACACATGAAGAACACGGACCTGTCCTAAAGCAACTGTGTCTCGAACAAATGAATATATATATATATATATATATATATATATATATATATATATATATATATATATATATATATATATATATCAATGTGTTTTGTGCGTTCAGCTGAACAAGATTCATAGATACACTCACATTATCACAGTAAATAAGAGTGGTAGTGAGAGGGGGATAGAGAAGTTCAGGTAATAGATTGTGAAGCCAGCTATTCTTGGCAACCGCATTAGCAACACCCCGATACTCGGCTTCGGCACTGGACCGAGAAGTGGTACCCTGTCTCTTAGACGACCAAGAGAGAAGATTAGGTCCAAGAAAAACGCAATAACCTGATGTGGATCGTCTAGACGTGGGGCAGGCGACCCAATCCGTGTCAGAAAAGGTAACTAAACCCCGAGAAGGGGATGCATATAACTGAAGACCATGAACAATAGTGCCCCGAATGTACCTTAGGACGCGTTTAAGAGCCGAGAAGTGAGGTTCGCTGGGGTCATGCATAAATAAACACACTTGCTGAACTGCAAAGGTGATGTCAGGGCGAGTAAAAATCAGACACTGGAGTGCTCCTGCAAGACTGTAGTAGTTTGTTGGATCAACAACTGGCGGACCAATGCCATCAAGCTTAGCTGAGATGTCGACAGGAGTACGGGCCAACTTGCAATTAAGCATGTGAGCACACTCAAGAATCTTAGTAGCATATTTTTGTTGAAATAAAAACATTCCATGACGATCACGAGAGAAAACAATGCCCAAAAAATAAATCAGAGAACCCAAACTTGTCGTTGCAAACTCGGAGCGTAAAGTGGTAATGATCCGTTGAAGGAGACCCGTAGAGGAGGCTGTCAATACAATATCATTCACGTACAAAAGAAGGTATGCAAGCTGCTCACCCTGTCTGTAACAAATAATGACGAATCAGAGTGACTATTAGAAAAGTCATGAATGTGATGAATTGAGCAAAATGGTGATACCAAGCCTGCTGTGCCAGTTTGAGTCTATATAACGACTTTTTAAGTAAACAGACATGTTCGAGATGAGATATGTCATGAAACCCTGTTGGTTGATGCATGTATACAGTCTCTTGAAGATGACCATGAAGAAAAACATTTTTGACATCTAACTGATGAACTGGCCAATGTGAGAAATAGCGAAGCTAAGAACAATCCTGATAGTGCCCGATTTGACAACCGGACTGAAAGTCTCATCGTAGTCGATACGAGGCGTTGATTTGGACCGTTGGAAACAAGACGTGCCTTATATTGTGATAAAGAACCATTTGCATTAAATTTCTTTTTAAACAACCAAATATAGTTAACTGCATGAGCATTGGGAGGTCGAGGTACAAGTACCCAAGTTCCATTAAAAATAAGTGCATTAAACTCTTCTTTCATAGCATTTAGCCAATTAGGATCTTGGAAAGCTTGAGAATAGTTGTGAGAGATAAGGAAGGAATCGGGATGAGACTCAGTATGAAGATTAAGTTTGGTGATGGGTTTGACAATGCCATGGCGAGAATGAGTAGCCATGGAGTGAAAACGAGAGGGAGCGGAAGAATTGTTTTGGGAAACTTGACGAACCAGAGGATGAGGGTCTGAGGGACCTTCGTTGGATGATGAGACACCGATGGATGGAGTATCGTTGGTGTTAGATTCGACAACAGGAGGAGCGCCGAATGTAGACCCGCCAGCCGTGGGGTTTGAGGTGTCGGCTGGAGTGGTGACATCGACAGGAGAGGAAGGAGATGAAAGAGAATGTAGAGGCTGAGCTGGATGACTAAGGTCGTTAAAGAGATTCCGGGTGTCATCCAAATTAAGGAAATCTTACTCGGGGGAATGAGTTGGGGACGTAGAGCCAAAAGGAAAAATCGTTTCATCGAACGTGACATGGCGGGATATGACAATTTGATTTGTATGGAGGTTAAGACAACAGAAACCTTTTGTGGTTGGAGGGGTATCCAAGGAAGATTCAAGGAACCGAACGAGGTTGAAGTTTATGAGTGTTGTTTATGTGAGGGTAGCAAAGGCATCCGAAAACACGAAGGTGAGAGTAGGATGGATGTTTGTTGAAAAGTTTATGGTATGGGGTGTCATTCTTTAGGGGGTGGAGTGAAAGATGTTCAAAAGATGAGAGGCCATGTGTAAAGCTTCAACCTAATAAGTTAGAGGGAGGTGAGCTTGAAAGAGCAAAGTGCGTATGATGTTATTTATAGTTTGAAGCATTCTTTTAGATTTCCCGTTTTGTTGGGAAGTGTAAGGACAAGAGAAACACATATGGATGCTATTGATGTCACATAATTGGTGAAATTGAGAGTTGTTAAATTATTTGCCATTAGCACATTGAAACGTTTGTATGTCAGTATGAAATTCTTTTTTTGATGTATGCACGAAAGTGAAGAAATTTAGAAAAAAAACTTTGGATTTTTTACGAAGAGGATACACCCACACAAAATGAGAAAATTGATCAAGAAAAATGACATAATATTGAATTCCGTTATGACTTAATAAAGGATAAGTCCAAACATACGAATTAATAACTTGAAATGGAAACATAAAATCATTTTTTGACAAGGAAAAAGATAAACGAACATGTTTTCCAAGTTGACAAGCATGACATAAAATAGAAGACTTCTTATTACATTTGATAGAACTATTGGAAAGTAAATATTGAAAAACTTGATGACCAAGATGACCAAGGCGTTGATGCCACGTAAATGAGCCAACACTGAGAAGCACATGAGGAGGTGGACTTGTAAGAGGATATAAATCGCCTTGGCCATCACATAAAATGAGGATTTGTTTGGTGATAAAATGCTTCACAGAAAAACCAAACTCATCAAATTCAATCCTATATTTGTTATCATGAGTGAATTTACGAATGGAAACAAGGTTTTTAATTATTTGAGGAGTGATAAGAACATTGTTAAGAGCTAAGGTACGAAAAGGTTAAGACTAATAGAGGAGTTACCTGATTGGTTAACGGGAATACGAGATCCATCAGCAACTAAAACAAAAAAATTAAATCACTTATTTGTAAAGGACTTGAGATACCTGGATCGACATGAAAGTGGGCAGTTGCCCCGGTGTCCATATACCAATCAACATTTCCTTGTTCTTTAACATTAATGGTAGAAAACGCCTACGATAGAGAAGTTGGTTAACCCGGAAAAAATTATGCCATGAAATGGGCTGTTTGAAATGTGGGGTGGCCATAATTCTTTCTGAGGATGGAATGAAGCCGAATTGGGACATGTAAGCTATTGAAAGTGATGAGGCCTGCTATGCTGGGGGCTGGCCCAAAAATTGTTGGGGGTGAGAAGGAACCCAACAACGTTGTTGTTGGGTCGCTGATCTTGATACACACCAAGCCAAGGGTACCAAGCCCCTCATCCGCTGTTACCACCATGACCAGGTGAGAAGAAATTCCCGCCTGCTCCACCTGTTCTACCTTTTCCGCCTCCTCTGCTGGAACAACCACCCCTGCAGCCACCTCTAGAATTCCGACCACCGCCCCTGCCATTAAATTGAGTTTCGTGGTGGCAGATTGTCTTGATTCTAAGATTGGTTATCATGTGTGGTATTGAGAATAGTTAGGGCTGAAGCATGGTCTTGATGAGTAGCTTGCACCACACGATTTTGTTCCTTAATCATGGAACGTTCCTCTAGCATAAGCATCGATCGCATTTCAAGAAAAGTCGGGAATGGCTTCTGATGTCGAATGGTGGTAACCACATGAGAAAACTTTAGAGATAGGTTGTTAATGGAATAAATAACAAGATTCCCTTCGGAAACCGAGGCTCCGATGTTGGCAAGGAGATCGACAATTGACTTTATACGAGTGCAATATTGGACAACTATTGAGTTGCCAATAGTAATGGAACGTAGCTCATCATCTAGTTCCATGGCCTTAGACTCTTTGTTTTCAAGGAAAAGATCTTCAATGGACTTCCAAACTTCGGCTGTAGTAGCATCAGGTTTGTGAATGGATTGAGGGAGAGGATGAGTGAGAGTTCCATACACCCACTATTTGACAATATTATCGACTTCTTCCCATTGGGGATCATCGGTTTTGAGATACGACCCATCAAAATGCAATGGATTTTGAATAATTCCTTCCATGAATCATAATTCATGCGATCAAGATCAAGTAGAAGAGGAACATAAAACTTTATGTTAATGATGCCAAATATTTTATCAGTAGGTTTGGATTTGGAGGAGCTTGCATCTGATATAGTCATGATGAAGTAGAAACAAAAGGCGAGAAAAAAGAAGAAGATGTGATGAGAAAATCACTACCCAGTGGATCAGATAGGGTTTTAGGAGACTATTCTGATACCATATTAGGAACAACATTTTCCCATAACTTGCATTTTCACTCCATCACAAAATATATACATAATACAAGAATTAGGCTATGCTAAACAATTATGGGCTAAATACATTGGGCCACACAAAATATAACTCAAATATAATAAACAATACAATATGTATAACAATACTAAAGTATACGTCTAACATTCATTTAACTTGTATAACTAAAATATGGTGGCTTCCAGACTCGTACCATTTTGGAGTTTCTAACCAATTATAAGTATTACAATCCAATTCTACTAAATTTTCCATATTCATAAACCATAACTCATATTCTTAGTAATGAGTTTTACCTCTCATTTGACAATGCATTAACCACTTGTTCCATGAATTTGATTTATGAAAATATTAACTAAAAAAATATAAATTTCCACTAAATACATGCATGTCATCTAAGCTTATAAAGAAGAAATCCTTTCATAATTGAGCATAAAAACATTTTGGAGAAATTAATCTTCATACCCTTTATTCATAATTACACATTCCTTATAAAAAAAATCCAAAAAAATGGTAAGTGTTTACCTTGTTGATGATGTTTGGTGAACAAAAGCCTTTTAATCTACTTAAAGAATTCTTTGATCTTTACGAACACACACTAATTACACTAAGAACACACATACATACACTTATGTTCCTAATGTTTCTGGAGAGCTTTTGAGGGAACATTGAGTTAAAATGACATGAATAATCCAAAAATGGTGTTAGTTTAGTAGAATACATATGGTACAACATATACATCATTCAAATGAGTTGGCATTAAAAATTAGACAAAAATTCCCTTTTCGTGCCTTCACGAGCCCTGGGAATGAGCTATTAGGCACCTTAGAAACTTTTTAGCAACTTTTCTTTTTTCTTTTTCTCCCAAAATTTCTCATTTTCAAACGGCCATAACTCAATCATTTTAAATCTAATTTCAAATATTTTTTATGTTCTAAAATCCTTATTAGGAGTACTACATCTTCTTTTTTACTAGCCTTTGGCTGAATGTTTCTATCGCAACTTCTCCATTTTAAGTCCACTTGGCTTGATTCGTTTCCCTATGTACTCTTATAGTAAGAGATTTTTATTTATATATTATAATCGATATTTGGACATTAGGAAGTCCTCCTTCCAAAGCTCAATTGTAGGCCTCTCGAGATGTTTGGACAATTTTCCCATACCTAGAATATGTTTTAACTTTTTCTCAGTTTTAGAAGATTTTCCCTAACTTCAAACATCCATAACTCTCTCATATGGACCTAGGTTTGGTTGATTCTTTCATATATGGATTCTTTGTCATTTTAAATATAATTTTCATTTAAAAAATATTGCATACAAGGTATGAATATTGAGTTATAAGTTCAAGAATGAACGAAGTTTAATTCATAACTTAAGGCTCTACGTTTGCTAAACCCTTCAAATGCATAACATAGGTGCCTTCATGTACACCAACTCATTAAAGTGGACATAGATAAGCCTTCATGTGCACTAACCATTAAAGTGCACACAAATGAGCCTTCATGTGAACTAACCTATTAAATTGCACACATACGACCTTTCATGCACACTTGAATCTTTTTACATTACTTTAGTTATTAACTCTATTATTTTCACTTTATGCACTTAGAATTAAATATATTTTTATTAGATGTTGCATATATATCATATTCCAACACATATTGTACAACAAATGACCAAGTTTTCCTTTTGACCAATTTACCCATCTTATATGTATTGTATGTTATTATGACCATATTAACCGTTATAAGACATTTTGTTTAACTAGTTTAACATCCTAAATATTAAAATTCTTGGATGTTACAAGTATCCATCTGTTAAGAGGATTTCTTCCTCAGAATCGTATTGTAATCCACAAGATTGGACTGACGCTTCATCATATCTTCTTTTTTTTCCCAAGTTAGGGTTGGTCTATAAAATGCTTCCATTGAACTAGCACTAACTTGATTTCCTTATTTCTTAGTATTTTTGTTTTAACTTCATGGATTGCCTCCGATTCTTCAATTAGTTTACTAGGAGTTTCAACTCTCAAATCTTTTAAATGAATCACAACCTCTTTTTTCCTAAAATACTTCTACAAGTAACATACATGAAATGTGTCATGTTTACCCTTATGTTTTGTATGCCTAGAGTCATCAAAACTTATTAGGGAGGGTGAGACTCAGTTTCTTTTGGGGTCATGAACAGGGTGAACAAAAATCCATTCGAGAAAATGGATAACATTTTGGTTAATAAAGTGAAAGGTGCCACTCAAACCGGTAGTCGGGGTGGTGGTTGGAACCACCGTGGCGACAAAGATGGTCGCAATAGAGGAGGAGACGGTTGTGGAAGATCATCTGGAGGTGGTTTCATGCATCTTGCTATCGACTGGGGTAGACAAGTCCCTTGGACAATATACTACCCACCTCAGTGTGAGCTTCTTCCCTCGCTATCAGCTTTGGCCTAATGGCCAAATTCTTCAAACTCACACAACCTACAAACTTTTTGGCCGAAAAAAAGTTCTACTAACTCATGATGGCCAACATATTCTATAGCCCATCAATAATTAGTTCTCATATAGTCGGACAACTCGCTAGTCAGCCTAACGGCTGGAAGTTTTTCGGTATCCTACACTCGTGGATCAAGCTACCTCTCTCCGTTAGGTGTTTAGCAATATGACTCTCCAAAATCTAGGAAATGCAGACTAGTACATGGACACCAGGAAATCACATATCTTTAAAAAAATTCAGGTATACTCAATTCTTTTATTGATAAGAGAAATAATATTTTTTTGTTTTACTCTGTAATGGATCTCGTATTCTGGTTACTAAAATTAGTCAAACTACTCTCGGTCTCAATCCCTTTTAGAGAAACCATTATTAAAAAAAACCCATATCAAAATCAAGTATCGAATACAAATATCCCCAAGATCGGTGTATCATAAAATCTCCAAAAACATATTTTGAAGGATGTGTACGATCACACATTCGCCTTGCCACAGTCATGTGAAGTACCTGAAACATAAAACTAAGATAGTAAGCCAAAGCTTAGTGAGTTCCCCCAAAGTACCACAACACAACATAAAACAACATGCATATTGGGTCCACAGCTAACAGACTGGATTACCCCTAAGTCCACAACTTGAGTCTAGCTTGCCTTCCAACCCATAGCTCATGTATGGCTTACTCCCGAGCCCACAACATAAGTAGGGCATGCCTCTCGGTCCCATAACTTATGTCTGGATTGCTCCTGGGTTTGTTGGTCTCTGTACAGAGCAACATCACCTCCAACCATACAATGTCGACATTACATAACAGATAACATATAACAGTAACAGATAAACATATAACCAGTCAATCAGACTAACATGCAGATCTACAGGTCACTATCGCATAACAATATCCTATATACCAGGAATCAGTACTAACAGATCAATACATCATACCAACATCTTCTAAACCAAGACATATAACCCAGTGGGCCGACACTGGTGCCTTCGACCCACAAGTACAGTGACGAAAACTCACCTCTCAGTCTGAAAAGATCGTTGAATAGGACACAACTTTGAATATCAGCTCCACCAGTCACCTATTCATTGGAACACGACCAAACTTAACTTATAATCAAAATACCCAAAATACCCTTAGGTTAAACTTTGTCATAAACCTGGTCAAAGGTCAAGGTCAACAAGTCAACTCAGCCAGTCGCTACATCATGGCTAGCTCCAACCATGTCGCGGGGACTATAGGACAAAACAATCACATGACAGCCATCCACCATGTCGTGATGACCCATTCACCACGTCGTGGTGACTGTTCAGACCAACTTAATCCAATAAACTCTTAATCCATCAAACCAACCATTCAAACTTCCCAGAAGGCATTCTCTCATCCAATGAACCATAAAAATGGTTGTTTTAGAGACATGTATGTCAAAATAGAGTAAAATGGGCCAAGATCACATGCAAGAGTTCAAAACTCTATGAAATTCCAGATCCAACACTCCTAACCCCAAAGGGACTTTGGGGATCCATAAAGTTGGAAACTTTATGGAATCCTAACATGAAGAATAAGGCATAGAAATCTAGATCTATGCACAATAAACCGAAAAGCTACAAAAGTCCAGAAGATGCACAACAAGAAGATGAGAAGAGTTGCTTGCTGAATCCAAGCCCAAATGTCACCTTCTTCTTCTTCTAATACCTAAAAATCAACACAAAATGCTTAGAAAGCAAAATGGAGGTTAGGGTTTTCTTGGAGGCTGGGAGAGTGTCATGGAGGTTGAGGGCGAGCAACCCTATCCATCATATTCCCTTAAATAGGGGCGCAAACCTTGGAGATTCAGTTTTCTCATTAAACTATCACCACACTGTGGACATAGGCCGCTACGCCGTGGTGGTCATTTAAAACCCACGGTACAACGACCATCGCCACGTCGTGGGATGCCTTCACCACGAAGTAGTCCTGCCCAAAATCTAAAAATAAGTTCAATTTAAATACCTCCAGGAATCCGAATGTTACAATTCTCCCTCCACTTGAATCAGACTTCATCCTTGA